GACCTTCACGAACTCGCGAACATTTAACGCTTACGAACTCCCCCCATTTTGTGTTTTTGGCACCGTTAGGGAGGACACGGGTGGGAGCCCGCTAGGGTCCGATCGCCTGGTTCTCCCCCAGCAGCTGCATCAGGTTTCACTACCTGGTCTCGCAGAAGGCTGGCCCGCGACGGACAGTCCTCACGTAGATCGAAGGGTCATCCACTGTTTCACTTCTAGGAGGGGGGGGCTGTGTAGCGACCTGGAGATTCCCCCGTATGACTGTGTAAACTATTCTAAAATACATTCAAATTATAGCTTTCTTATGTATTAGGGAACTAGGCGGTTTGCCTGTTGGAACGTTGTACCCGTTTGTTGAAAACACGAACGCCATCTCCGCCTTTGGCGCGCGACTCGACTGCGAACGACGTTTAGAGGGTTGCCTATTCCGGGAGCCCAGAGAGCGATTCCAGAAGACGGATCGAGTTGCAGGGAAACTTTTATTGGTTCAGCAAAAGATTCCCTGTTAGCTAGCTATAAATGAACGACACCGTGGACGCTCTAGCTAGGGGAACAGATCAAGCACAGCACACAGAGCAGTCGCGCGTTGCAACCGAAGCGAGCGCCAAGCAAAAATGGCGATGAGCAAGTAAAGCATTCGAACTCAGCAAGCAGTTCAACAAACCACACCGGTTGCCTAAGTGTACAATTAAAGAATTTTGGTTAGAATTTTACACAAGCAAACCGGGGAATCTCCAGACTGCTACATAGCCCTCTCCCAGAAGGGACTGTGTAAGCAGTCCTTCGATCTACGTGAGGACTGTCCGTCGCGGGCCAGCCTTCTGCGAGACCAGGTTGTGAAACCCGATGCAGCTGCTGGGGGAGAACCATGCAATCGGACCCTAGCGGGCTCCCACCCGTGTCCTCCCTACGGTGTCGAAACGGTAAAAAAACTGTTTGTGAGGGGGACAGTTAATAAAGTTCACGTAGGCAGTTGAGCAGGAAGATTGTTGAACTTCCAGTTGGCGTGCGGAGATCCAGCGGAAAGTGAAACCGAGGTGCAACCAACCGACGATGTATATGGAAAGCAAAATGAAAAAGCAGCATAAATGCATAGCAATACACAAAAGAGTGTTAAGCGAAAAACGTGCAAAGCTGTTTTTGGGTTTTCAAAAGGTTTTGCTCTTTTTTGGTAATTTCAAAACGTTTTGGTCTTTTTTTGTGGATTTTCAAAAACGTTTAGTAAGAACAGAAAATGTCTAAGGCACGTTCTACGTAAAAAAGTAAGCGCGAACGGAGTCCGAAAAACGAACCTTATGTTTGAGCTTCCTACCGCGTTGATTGAAAGTAGGGCGGGTAGGAGTGCTGTCGGTTGTGGTTGTCGGTTCTGCTGGAGCGGACTGACTCGTCTGAGGTTGCGGTGCCAGCTGTGATGGCACAGGCTGTGAAGGTGCTTGTTGCACCGGCGAGTCAGACTTGTCGAAGAATGCTGGCTTGAGTCGATCAATGGTGATCGTCTCAGTGGTGTTGCGTCGTGGCTTGCTTATGTCGGGATCAGCTTGGTGGGCAGCAGCCTTGGCGGCTAGATCAATGTTTGTGCCAGGCGATAAGCTGATCTGCTGAATGCGTGAAAGCGCATCCGCGACGGGATTGAGAGCACCTGAGACATGACGTACGTCTGTCGTAAACTGAGAAACGTAGTCTAGGTGTCTAGTTTCCCGCGGCGAGTACTTGTCTGTTGCGCCATTGATTGCGTAGATCAATGGCTTGTGGTCGGTGAAGACGGTGAAATGTCGACCTTCGAGGTAGTGACGGAAATGTCGGATACCTAGGTAGATAGCTAACAGTTCCCTACCGAAGGTGCTGTATCGCGATTCGGCAGGTTGTAAGCGCTTTGAGAAGAAACCTAGAGGTATCCATCGACGGTCGATGAGTTGTTGAAGAACTGCACCGACGGCAGTGTCGGAAGCGTCAGTCGTCAGAGAGAGTGGTGCAGACGTGTCTGGATGGGCGAGAAGCGCTATGTTGGAGATAGCGTCTTTGAACTTCTCGAAAGACAGTCTAGCGTCGTCTGTAAAGTGAAAAGAGCGTTGTTTACCGCGGAGCAAGTCAGTCATTGGTTGAACAATGCTTGCGCAGTTAGGAATAAAGCGTCGATAATAGTTAACCAGGCCAAGGAATCGGCGTAACTGCTTGAAGGAACTGGGAGCAGGATAGTCCTTCAGTGCCTGGATTTTGTCTGGCAGGGCTTCGATACCAGAGGCAGATATGCGGTGGCCAAGAAAGTCGATGGAGCTTTGGCCAAGCTCGCATTTATCGGGGTTGACGGTAACCCCATGCTGTGTTAAGCGCTGGAAGAGAGCGTCGAGGTGACGAAGATGCTCCTCGTCAGAAGAGCTGGCGATGAGTATGTCCTCTAGATAAGGATAGACGCCTTCGAGTCCTCGCGTTACCTCATGAATGAAACGCTGAAAAGTTTGAGCAGCGTTGCTGAGGCCGAAAGGCATTCTGAGGTACTCGAATAAGCCAAATGGCGTGATGACTGCTGTTTTAGCAATGTCATCTGGCGCCACAGGTATCTGGTGGTACGCACGGACTACGTCGACTTTGCTGAAGATAGACTTGCCAGCTAGAGCTGAGGTCAAGTCGTGCATGTGCGGGATAGGGTATTTATCCGGGACGGTAAGTTTGTTAAGTGCCCTGTAGTCACCACAGGGGCGCCAGTCACCGGACTTCTTCGGCACCATGTGTAATGGTGATGCCCATAGACTTTTAGACGGGCGGATGATTCCCAGTTCGAGCATTTGCTCGAATTCCGCCTTCGCAGCTTTGAGCTTGTCCGGGGCTAGTCGGCGAGGGCGGGCCGAAACAGGTGGGCCCTTAGTGCAGATGTGATGCGTGACGTTTGACGTCACAGGAGGCAACTCGTTCAGGACGCGAACGAGTTTAGGGTGCTTGCTGAAAAGTTCTAGAAAAGACTGTGAAGCTTGAGGTAGGACACGAATGGGAGTGATAGCAGCCACGTTGGCGCTAGTCCCGATAACACTGAGCTGTGTCCTAGAATCGATAAGCTTCTTCCGTTTAGCGTCGACGATGAGGTCGAAGCGTTGAAGAAAGTCTATGCCTATGATGGCGAAAGGCACAGCAGCGATTATGAAAGGCCAGCGAAAGGTTCGCCGGAGGCCTAAATTGAGCGTTAACAGCTTTTCGCCGAAAGTTGCGATTGGTGTGCCATTGGCGGCACGCAGCTTGGTCGGCGATGGCGAGACGACCTCATCTGAGCTACGGGGTATGACGCTAACTTCGGCACCAGTGTCGACTAGAAACTCGGTGCCGGAAGTTAAATCCCTAACGCGGATGAGGCGACTTTGGTGTTGGCCAGTCGCGTCCGTCGCCGTTACGGACCGGCCGCGAAGTTTTCCCTGCTTCTCGTCGAAGTTGCAGGGCTTTACACATTTACGAGCTGCGGTACCAAAACGCTGGTGGTACCAACAGCTCGCGTGCCTGTTGCTAGACTGAGAAAGTTTGAAGGGCGATTTTGAGCGGCTAGGACGACGACGGGTCATAGTAAGCTGTTGCACCTGGCGACTAAGTGTCGCAACTTGTGTTTGCAGGGCTTCTATGGTTGACTGTAAGCCAGTGATAGAAGTGCCCTGGGACGCGACGGCATGGACCTTGCTGGAGTTGGCCTGTGGCTGTGATCGTTCAATAACTCGATCCGCTAAGTCTGCTAGTTGAGTGAGCGAAACGGAGCTCACTGTAGCGAGAATCGCTTGCGTGTTTTCAGGTAGCCGTTGTAGCCATAGTTCGCGAAGTAAAGTCTCATCCATGGTTGAAGAACCAAGGAGTTGCTGCATCTCTCGTAGCAGGGTTGAGGGCAGTTTGTCGCCCAATTGCAGATCCCTGAAAAGCTGCTGCAGGCGAACTTTCTCAGAGGGCATAACACGCTTAATCGTGGCCTCCTTCAGAGCCTCATAGCGGTTATCGGTCTGAGAAATGATGACGTCACGAACCTGCATTGATATCTCCTTGGGGAGATAGGACAGGAGCTTGCAATACTTCGCGTAGTCGGAAGTGATTCTGTGGTTATAAAACTCGGCCTCAAGAAGAGCGAACCACAAAACAGGATCCGTGTCCCAAAAAGGTGGAACAGAGAGAGATACAACACTAAGTATAGACTCTACCTTATGGTCTACAGATTCCATAGTTTGAAAAAAAAATGACGCAAAAAATAGGCTACCGTATGAAAAAATAAAACCGGAAAATATGAAAAATAAATGGAACGAGCTCACCAGAGAAAAGTTCCAAATATCCGGCGCTGAGGTTGATCCGGATTCGGGGTCACCAATTTTGAGGGTTGCCTATTCCGGGAGCCCAGAGAGCGATTCCAGAAGACGGATCGAGTTGCAGGGAAACTTTTATTGGTTCAGCAAAAGATTCCCTGTTAGCTAGCTATAAATGAACGACACCGTGGACGCTCTAGCTAGGGGAACAGATCAAGCACAGCACACAGAGCAGTCGCGCGTTGCAACCGAAGCGAGCGCCAAGCAAAAATGGCGATGAGCAAGTAAAGCATTCGAACTCAGCAAGCAGTTCAACAAACCACACCGGTTGCCTAAGTGTACAATTAAAGAATTTTGGTTAGAATTTTACACAAGCAAACCGGGGAATCTCCAGACTGCTACAGACGCTCTGTCAACGCACTCGACGGCAACGACATTCTCCCTAGCTAGCTCTCTCTGGGTGCCCTATTTTTAGCATTAGCTAACGCTCCTCCCGTCCAATAAACTTCTTTTCTAGTTTACTTTTGTGTATGCTGCCCACTACTTTTGGTTGGTCGTCTAGTCCCGTACCGGATATATAGCGCAAGATCTACGCGCTATAAGTTCGCCGCTGTCTCATGCACACAAATCGATTGAGGGTTACGTAATCACAAGGCCTGACCCGATGTCTGGGTGACGGCTAGGCTGATGGTTGTTCGGTCAGGGCAGGTATAGAGATTGAACCAACTTTTTCTGCGAGCACAACGGGGGTTGGAATATGCGGATCGCAATGGCCTCTGCAGTGACGAGCATCCTTAACCGCGTACCTTTCGATTTGCTCATTGGAACCTGATAAATCACAGTAAAAGCATTCGGGAGGTTAACGTGGTGACCAGATTCGAAAAGATGAGATAAGATACCGCTTGTAAGTACTCCGGTGCCCCCGTTCAACAACCATTTAGGGCTATGTTCCTTAATGCGACGTGACAGTTGACGAGCCGTCCGACCAATGTATGTTGCCCCACAAGTGCACTCCAATCGGTAGGTAACGTAAGAAGAGGTCAGCTTCGGCAGTCTGTCTTTGTTGCATACAGGAATTAGCTGCTTCGTGGCGAAGATGCATCGTAACTCCGTAGCCGGAAAGGTGTTCTTTATCGATTGCGTCAGTTTGCTTGTTAAGAGCTCACTAACTGTATCACGTTTAAAATCAAGGCGGATAAAGAGGGCCTTTTGCGCGACTACGTCCTTAACGACCAGTGTTATTTTGGGCTGCATATTGCGCTGAATGAATCTTTCTGGATAGCCATTTTCACGCAAGGTGTTCTGGATGGATTTCATCTCATCCTCCAGAGCGTCCTCTGAACATATCTTTCTCGCCCTTGAGGTGAGACAATGTACTAAGTTACGCTTGTGTTTAAGCGGTACAAAACTACTGAAATTTGTATACTGACCTGTCCACGTCTTCTTTCTGTTTGTCTTCCTTAATATGGAACCGTCAGTTCGTCTACTAAGGTGTACATCCAGAAATGAGAGTTGGCCATCTTGCTCAAGTTCGTAGGTGAACTTAATCGCCGGGTGCGCACCATTAAACTCTGCCAATATATCCTCCAGAGAGATATCTTTATGGGTTATGCAGAAAATGTCATCCATATAACGATAGTAATGCTCAAAACAATCTATAAGTGGCCCCAGTGATTCAGTTTCTAGTTTGGTAAGAAAAATATCTGCCAGCACTGGTCCGAGTGGGGACCCCATTGCGACCCCATCATTCTGCCGATAATATATGCCGTCGAAAAGAAACTGAATGATGTAAGTGCATCTCAGAAGTAATTCTTTCAGGCTTGGTAAGGGTATAGCTAAATGAATGCTGTTATCATGCACATAGTTGCACAGATATTCTATTGTCTCTAGTAGCGGGACATTCGTGAATAAAGAAGCTACATCAAGTGAGAACATCTTCTTCTCCTTCAGGTTCCCATCTCTAATGTGCTCTACGAATGTAAAACTATCCCGAACACTACGTTTGGCAATTCCTTTTCTTATTGGCTCCAGTAATTCTGCCAACCACTGGGCTGTTGGATGACATGCGGAGTTTGTCATGGACAATATTGGGCGTAGAGGTACACCTTCTTTGTGAAGTTTTGGCAGTCCATACATTCTCGGGATAGATGTCCCAACTGGCCTCAGACATTCAAACTGACTACTAGATATAAAACCGCGGGTACATCGATCTTTCAGGCAATGCGTCAGGTTTTGTTCCGTTTTGGCTCTTTGTTCCTTCTCACCTAGTTTTACACAAAACTTCGTTTCGTCTCGGAGGATCTGGTTTAGTTTCGAGATGCAATCACTTTGTAGCAGTCTGGAGATTCCCCGGTTTGCTTGTGTAAAATTCTAACCAAAATTCTTTAATTGTACACTTCGGCAACCGGTGTGGTTTGTTGAACTGCTTGCTGAGTTCGAATGCTTTACTTGCTCATCGCCATTTTTGCTTGGCGCTCGCTTGTGTGTTTTCCGGTAGCCGTTGTAGCCATAGTTCACGAAGTAAAGTCTCATCCATGGTTGAAGAACCAAGGAGTTGCTGCATCTCTCGTAGCAGGGTTGAGGGCAGTTTGTCGCCCAGCTGCAGATCTCTGAAAATCTGTTGAAGGCGAACTTTCTCAGAGGGCATAACACGCTTAATCGTGGCCTCTTTGAGAGCCTCATAGCGGTTTTCGGTCTGAGAAATGATGACGTCACGAACCTGCGTTGATATCTCCTTGGGGAGATAGGACAGGAGCTTGCAATACTTCGCGTAGTCGGAAGTGATTTTGTGGTTATAAACTCGGCCTCAAGAAGAGCGAACCACAAAACAGGATCCATGTCCCAAAAAGGTGGAACTGAGAGAGATACAACACTAAGCATAGACTCTACCTTATGGTCTACAGATTCCATGATTTGAAAAAAATGACGCGAAAAATAGGCTATCGTATGCAAAAATAAACCGGAAAATATGAAAAATAAATGGAACGAGCTCACCAGAGAAAAGTTCCAAATATCCGGCGCTGAGGTTGATCCGGATTCGGGGTCACCAATTTAGAGGGTTGCCTATTCCGGGAGCCCAGAGAGCGATTCCAGAAGACGGATCAATTTGCAGGGAAACTTTTATTGGTTCAGCAAAAGATTCCCTGTTAGCTAGCTATAAATGAACGACACCGTGGACGCTCTAGCTAGGGGAACGGATCAAGCACAGCACACAGAGCAGTCGCGCGTTGCAACCGAAGCGAGCGCCAAGCAAAAATGGCGATGAGCAAGTAAAGCATTCGAACTCAGCAAGCAGTTCAACAAACCACACCGGTTGCCTAAGTGTACAATTAAAGAATTTTGGTTAGAATTTTACACAAGCAAACCGGGGAATCTCCAGACTGCTACAACTTCTATCCATTAGGACTATACCACCTCCCTTATCTGGCTTGCAGATCACTATATCTTTATTGCTTTTTAACTCTCTCAGGCAGTTCAAATGTTTACGAGTAATCAGGCCGCGTTGATTCACCTGGTAGTTTCGATATTGGTAACAGCAATTGATCAACGAGGACTTGAAGCCTTCTAGAGCATCGGTTGATAGCGCGACTAAATCTTTCGTTTGTGCTACCAGGTTTTCAAATTGTGTCTCGGTATCTAACTGACGTTCGTTACTTTTAGGATAACAGAATTTCGAACCGAGTGACAAGATTTCAAGTAGTTCAGGCGAGAGCACCAATTTCGAAAAATTGTGAACATACTTTTCTGGATGGTTCGGGAAAGCAGCCTGTGGCTTCATGGGGCTAAGTGATCGAGCCAATGCATCACGTTTCTTCTGCACTCTTCTGTCTACGATCTGTTGAACATAATCCACAAACTGCTGCTGTTCCTCTACAGTGAGCGCATCAACACTGGATTGTCTCTGAGCGACGTTACGTTGAAATTCAGAAATTTTACCACAAATAGTATCACGTTGGTTTAGGGCGTGACGACGGAGAGTTTTAGAGTTGGGCTGAATACGTTTTCGGCGAAGATATTTCCAAAATGCGGTTGGATACTCACGACTATTCATACAATCATTCAGAAACCGAACGTAACTGTTAGCTTCAGCAAGCCGCGTGGAAAACTTTAGGAACTGATTAAGATCCTTCACCACGTGAGGCGGCTTTGTACGTTTTAACAAATGGAACATTCTCAGTGATTCATCAAGAACATCAGTCTGAGGCAAACAATTGTTTTCAATGATTCATCTACAGGCCGGTACAATCATATAAGGTTAAATTACAAAGTGATCTTACGTCAGTCTTGCACTGGCTTTGCAACATAGCACAGGATTTCACGACACTTATCGGTGTCTCCTGTGCCTAACGCCGGTTGTTGCCATCGGATACCAAAATCCGTGGCTTGCCTCGTTCAGTTTGTCTTGAACAGTGTTGTTGCACCAACGCATGCGTATTCCATTTGACGGCCGGTGAGCACATGCACGGCCGAATGGACGTACTTAGTATTAGGCGGTGATAGAGCAATTGGACGTGTTGACTCCTGGCCTGACCACTGAAAATTGAGTAGACTCATTTTGAATGCCCCCTCAGATTATTTCTGTTGCCGAAGTGGACAGCTTGGCCGGGAAATGGGATAGACGCTAGTATGACCTACGGACGCTACACACAAAACATGATGAGATACTCATCCAAACTTGTCCTGATGATCGGTGTCCGAGGTCTAGCGGACAATGAGTCGATGGTTGCCAGGGAAACAAGCAATGACCATTCGGCTATCATAATCCCACGACCGATAAAGAAAAAAGAAGTATTATGTGCTCAATAACTACGTAATAATTTGAGTACATCAAATTATATCCGCCCTTACAGTTTTTAAATGCTATGTCGTACATAGATTCCGTGCATCATCATCATCATACACGGTAGCTAGAGGTGGGAACGCCTCAGCTACTGTGCCGCAATACATTGAAAAAGGAGGAAAAAATGCAACTAGTGGAAGCTGGCTGA